AACCTCAGTAAAAATAAATTGACTAAATTCATTTAATCAGTTTAGATTTAGTTCTCACTGACCTGGATCTAGTTGATTGTGGATTCCTCAGTTTTTATGTTGGCCCAGTCACTGCCTTCTTCCCCTCAAGAGTAGTATCTCCCAGCTCAAATAGTCTTCATGAAGTTAGAGAACTAGAAGTTTTGTCTCTTCAGACAACTTTTCCAGCTTTGGACATTAAAACTTTTAAAAATATCTACTATGAGTCAAAATGAACTCAAAATGAGTTGTTTTAATTAGGAAATAGCTGTCGCATTTAGTTCCTACTTACTTTCTTGATTTCTTCTGAAAGCACAGACTCATTCAAGGACTGGGGATTTAGCACTGTGGTAAACCACCTGCCTTGCGTGTGTGAAGGCCTTGGGTTGAGTCCCCTGCATAGCAACAAACAAATTAAAACCCACTCATATTTAAAGCAGAATTTTCCTCCAGATCTATTTTATGCAAAAAAATAAATGAGAAAATTAGAAAACTACTCAGATACAAAGCATTATGAGAATGAAGATCCTTAAATCCACTTGATTTTGACTTTTTTCCCCAAAATAATTCTGCCAAAATATTTGTTACCTGAAATGATCTTAAACAATGTGATCAGATCTCTTCTTTTCCAGATTAAGCCCTCTTTCTAACAAACACTTAGCTATAAGCAGTGTCTCCTAATGGGTAGTCACATTGTTGTGACTTGGTTCTGCAGCTCAAAGGTCTTTGTTCCTCTTTTACATTGCCTCTGGAGAAATGTTTAAATAGACATTCATGAGGTAAGAATTTGGTATTGTGTTGACCTTTCAGTCCCTGAGAGGATTTGTAATTGGCCTTGTTGTAATCTTTGCTTAACCATCAACTAAGACCTTTAATTCTGGCACCAGCAAACCATTTAGAGCTAGTTTTAGAAATTCTGTTTTGGTTAAATGTATGTATGTGTCTGGTTTTAGTTCATAATGAGACTTGGGTAATGTAAATTGAAAGACTTTGTATTAGGATTTTGTTGTTCAAGTTGACATAGGTAAGCCTGAAATAGGGCAGGTGATTTACACAGTATTTATAATGCTGCAACAAAAGTCTCCATACTTTAGAAAGAATTTGTAAGAATTCCAAATTGACTAGTTCATCAGAAAAAAACTGGGCTTTGTAAAATCAAGAAGCTCTCAAGTCACTAGGATTTTGGACAAATGTTTGGCTCTCATTGCAGTTTAATTTACTCAGAAAATGATCTGTGTTCATTAAAAACCTTTCACATCTAGAACTCAAATATTGCCTTGGTTACTCATAAAGTGATAGCACAGAAGGTAGGGCATTTTGCCTTGCACGTGGCCAACTCAGCTGACCTGGTTTCCATTCCTCTGCCCTTCTCGAAGAGCTTGGCAAGCTATGGAGACCATCTTGCTTGCATGGCAAAGCCTGGCAAACTACCCGTGACATATTCAATATGCCAAACACAGTAACAATAAGTCTCACAATGAAGATGTTACTGGGCCTGCTTGAGCAAAATCGATGAACAACGGGAGGACAGTGCTATAGTGGACAGTTCTGCAGTGCTACCCATAAATTTAAAATATAGAAATTAAGACTGCTAGAATCTACAAAAATGTCATTTGATGCTTTACTTACTCTCACATAGTTCTAATAAATTTCACTAAGACAGTTTTTTGGATGAGATGGGTCTGAATTTTGGGTACCTGCTGTGATGGAGTCAATCTGAGACATCATTCAAAGACTTAGGTGAGGTCAATATGAAACATTCAAAGACTGATTGTGGATGAGAGTTCCTTTTTCACCACATCCCACCAACAGAGGCTGTTTCCATTATTTTTGTTAGTGCCATTCTTACTGGTGTAAGCTGATATCTCATTGTTGACTTGATTTGGGTTTCACTAATAATAAGTGATAATGAGCCAGTTTTTCATGTGCCTGTTTGTCCTCCCTTGGTCTTCCTGTGAGAAGTGTCTGTTCATTTCCTTTTCCCATTTTTTCTAAAATGGGGCAATTAAGGGTTTTTTTGGGGGGTTAATCTTTATGAGTACTTTATTGATCCTGGATAGAGACCCTTCATGTGTTGTGTTGAGTGCAAATATTTTCTTCCACTGTGCTGTTTAATTTTAGCCCATGTTTCTTTTGCCATACAGAAACCTTTTAGTTTGATGTAGTCCTATTTGTTTAGTTTTGATTTGGGCACCAGCAAACATCATTAGAGCTAGTTTTAGAAAAGATTTTTGGTTAAATATATGTGCCTGGCTTCAGTTCATGATGAGACTTGGGACTTGGGTAAGGTAAGTATCTTACTAAGTATCCTTAGTATTTGCCAATGGCATCACATTATTGAAGACTCCTGTGAGGTCTAGGTCTTGGAGCATTCTGCATATATCTTCCTCATCGTATTCAGATATGATCTCAAGGTCATTGATCCACTTTGAGTTGAGTTTTGTGTAAGGTGTGCTATATGATTACAGCTTTAATTTCTTACATGTGGTTATTCAATTCTCCCAACACCATTTGTTGAAAAGTCTGCCTTTATTCCATTTTATGCTCTTAATTTCTCTGAAAAAGTCTGGGGGTTGTTCCTTGGATATTCCATTATGACACATTGGTCAGAGTCTTTATTTTTTTTTTATTTTTGAGTCACACCTGGCAATGCACAGGGATTACTCCTGGCTCTGCGCTGAGGAGTTACTCCTGGCGGTGCTCAGGGGACTTTATGGGATGCTGGAAATCGAACCCGGGTTGGCCGTTTGCAAGGCAAATGCCCTGCCCGTTGTGCTATCTCTCCAGCCCAGGTCAGAGTCTTTTTTAAAATTCCATGCCACTCTGTTTTGATCAATATGGCTTTATAGTATAGATTTAAGTTGTAGGTTAGATTTAAGTTAAGTAGATTTAAGTTAAGTTAGGTTTAAATCCTCCAAGTTTCATGTTTTTCAGTATAGTCTTGGCTATGCTGTGTTTTTTATAATTCCACAAAAACATTGTAATGTCCTGTTCTAAGTCCTTGAAGAATGTATTCCAAATTTTGATAGGTATTTCATTGACTCTATATAGTAGTTTAGGCAAGATAGTTATTTTGACAATATTGATTCTTCTAATCCAAGAGCATGGAATGTTTTTTTTCATTTCCTAATATCTTCAGTTTCTTTCTTGAGTGTTTTTAAGTTTTCATGGTATAAGTCTCTCACCTTCATTGTTAAGTTTATTCGGTTAACTTGTTTTCCTTTGTTAACTTGATGTTTTTGGACACTAGTTTGAATGGGATAGATTCATCTCTTTCACTTCTGACAGATAATTGGATCATGAAGATATGATACATTACACTATGGAATAATACACAGATTTTTAGGAATGATGAAATCATGCAATTCATAGCATGATTTCAGAGTATAAAGAGGACAGGGAAAGAAAGAGTGAAGGAGTCAGGGAAAGATAGATGAAAAACAATGGGGGCCAGGTCAGGTATTAAGGTAGTGTTAGGAATGATAGAGCCAAATATCCAAACTACAGAGTCAAAGAAATTTAATTAAGAGACCTAAACTTTAACAACTAAGTTTAGAAAGGTGCTCATTAAGAGGGTAGACTGGAGAGGGGATATTGGAGGGAACCGAAAAACATTGCAGGAGAAAAGTTGACACTGCTGATGGGATCATGCTGCAATATTGTATGTCTAAAACTCAACTATGAATAACTTTGCAAAATATAGTGCTTTAATAAAATTAAAAAATGGACCTGATTGTGATTTTTAGGGTTTGTGTGATCTTGTCTGGGTTTAAGCCTTTCTACGTTCACAAATGTTTCCCTCTGAGGGAAACATTACTGGTCTGTATTGTTTACTTTTCTTTGGTATATCAATGCCGGTTTCCATAGTTATATACCTGTATATCACCAGGGACTATGTCTTATCCTCATGATGGACTGTGGAATGCAAGATCTACACCTATCCTCATCTCCAAGTGGAGTGATTTAAGTACATGGATAAAATAAATTTCCAAATTTCAAAAAATAAGTGTCTAGAAGTCATTGAACCATAATTTAGTTGGCAGAAGAGAGAATGTTATCTCCTACTCTTTGATGGAGAGTAAAGACCTAGAGTAAAGGATCTGGTTTGTTAGAAGTGATTGAAAAAATCACACCCGTTAAACTTATTTTTCAAAGATATGTAGAGATACTGTAGGGAGGATGACCAACTTCCATCTCCTTATTCTTTCATCTTGGATGTGAAGTTGGTTGCAACCTTGCTAGCAATAACCCGGGGTTAGTGAAGTTAATGAAACCTTCAGTTTAGATCATTCCTCTTTCTAGTGAGATGATAGGGAGTGAATGAATGTACATTCTATTCAGAGAACATTGTGAGAATTTTTCTAGCAGAGAAAAAAGTCCTTGCAGATCCAGAGAAACACTAACTAATTTGTGTGGTGGGGCATGGATTACATTAATTTGACTTCTTTATTAGAGTTCTGCCCTGTGATAAAGATGTTAGTATCGATAACATAACTTTTCTATCCAGAATTTCAGTAAGTTTTGGTAATAGAGTTCATTGGCCATTGTATACTAACTTTATATATATTTTTTATATTTCACTTATGAGTGAGATTGCTCAGTATTTGTTTTTCTTCTGACTTATTATGTTTAACACAGCACCTACTAGTTTCATCCAAGTTGTAGAAAATTAAAAGAATTTTAATTTTGAATTAAGTCTGAATTTTACAAGTAGTAACTGTTTCGAATACACAGGCTCAGAGATTTTCAATGTACTTTTATTTATGTTGATTAACAGTGTATAATTATTTGCATATGCAAAGAGATTCCCAATCGGAAGAAACTTATTACTTATTTAATCGAATATTGGTATTTTTATGGAAGAGGCTTTATTAAAGGTTCTGGAAAGTAAGGGAAGCAAGTTATATTTCAAAAGGTCTTTTGACTTTAAGACTATTATCTTTCCTATTAATAACACTTGATGCAATAATATAAGATTTGTTTTATCTTCTATATGCACATGAATTATTATCCAAGATTACTCTTTGACTCCAAAGCTTTCTCATGGCATTTTTCACCTCTGAGTTTCTGAGGGTATAGATTAATGGGTTTAGCATGGGGGTTATCATCGTATAAAATACAGCTACTGCTTTATCAATGGGGAAGGTGATCATAGGCCGAAGGTACACAAATATACAAGGCACAAAGAATAGGACAACGACAGTGACATGAGAGGCACAGGTAGAGAGAGCCTTCCACTGCCCTTCAGTGCTTTGGTTTTTTAGGGAGCACAGGATGAGGATATAAGATGCAATGAGAATTGAAAAAATCAGCATACACATCAGCCCACTGTTGGCAGCAACAAAAAGTCCAAAGATGTGAGTGTCAGTGCAGGACAGTTGTAGCAGAGGGAAAAGGTCACAGATGAAGTGGTCGATGACATTGGGACCACAGAAGGGCAACCAGAGTATAAAGAGAATTTGAATGAGAGCGTGAAGAAATCCCCCAGCCCAGGCCAGGACCACAAGAAGGCCACATACCCGCCTGTTCATTATGATCATGTAATGCAGGGGCTTGCAGATGGCCACGTAGCGGTCATAGGCCATCACGGTGAGCAGGATGATTTCAACTCCTCCAAAAAAGTGCTCTGCAAAGAGCTGAGTCATGCACCCACCAAAGGAAATAGTTTTCTTTTTGGTGAGTAAGTCCAATATCATTTTGGGGGCCATGGTAGAAGAGCAGCAGCCATCTATGAAGGACAAGAAACACAGGAAAAAATACATGGGGGATCCCAGGGCGGGGCTGGTGGTGATGGTCACCACAATGAGCAGGTTGCCTGCCACAGTGAGAAGGTAGACGATGGTGAACACTGCAAACAGAAGCTCCTGTACACGTGGGTTCTGTGTCAGACCAAGCAGGATGAATTCGGTCACGTTGTTCATTTGCTCCCAAACCCCAGTTTGGCATTTGGATACTCGATGTATCTGGGAGTAACAGAGATTACAGTTATGGAAGGTGAATTTTGATCAAATGAATAATTTGTGTCAGGATTATTTTCTGGAAGACTAATGGAAACCCGTAACAGATAAATTCAAGACTTAAAGTAGGGTTATATTCATTAGTTGCAAATGAATAGATAATTACCATCCCTCCCCCACACAGACACACATTCCTGTATGCAGCCATGACTATCATGACTGATTTAACACATCAGACTCCTGCAACTCAATAAGATGGATATCCTCCCAACAATTTCTATCCATCATGGGAAAATTGAAATAAAAAGAGAGCCTGTGAGGGGAAAATGCATGAATCATGAGAATCTGTTACTTCTCCATTCACTTATGCTGATGAGGCCAAGTTGCAGGGTTTGTTATTCTTACTTTTAACTTGTTTCTGAGTGAATTAAAGGTAAATTAATCTGAAATGTAAATTAAGCTATTCATATCCTCAAAATAAATTGAACTGAATGACTATTTGGGATTCACATGAGATAAAGCAGGCAGTTACAATTATGAGTTTATGCTATATCCAAGCAGAGTTTTCCAGAATGTGGTCAAACAAGAAAGAACATTTGAGAGAGGAGAAAGCAGCTTCACAAAATACAGCCTTTCTGCAATTTTAAAGTTATTGGAAATTTTAGAATTCATTAAATGTTGAAAATTTCTGTCATGGTTTGGTTTCAGTGGCATGCATTTTTGAAAAATCAAACTCAACTTAAGAAAGTAAAAAATTCTTTGGATTTATGTAGAAGATGTATGAGCTAAGGAAATAGGCATCATGATTTATTGGATAGAAGGTGCTCTTTATGATCAGATTATTTCTCTTTGTTCTCACTGCTTCATAGTCTTGTGATGTCAGATACCCTTTTCTTACTGTAATTCTCCAATTCTCTCATATAAAAAGTAGGAAGAACAGTCAATAACTTTGAGGAATTGAAGTATATGATCATGACGTGGGCCATAGTTGTATTCTAAATGTAAAACGTAACTTTCCACATTCTCAGAATTCTTTTTTTAAAAAGTTAAAATGAAAATATTTCCACATTATTACTTTTGTCCTTAAAAAAGACAAAATAAATGAACTAAATATTCAGGAACTCAGAGAAAAATTAATTATATTTAGGAAAAGGTAGAACTAATAAATCGGTACATTAGGCAATAGATAAATATTAGGCAATTCAAAATCTCTTTAGTATTTAAAATATCAAGTATGATAATCACAAATAACTTCAATAAGAAATAAGTAGGATCAGATCACAAAAGGACATGATGGATATCCTCCCAACAATTTCTATCAATCATGGGAAAATTGAAATAAAAAGAGAGCCTGTGAGGGGAAAATGCATGAATCATGAGAATCTGTTACTTCTCCACTCACTTATGCTGATGAGGCCAAGTTGCAGGGTTTGTTATTCTTACTTTTAACTTGTTTCTGAGTGAATTAAAGGTAAATTAATCTGAAATTTAAATTAAGCTATTCATATCCTCAAAATATATTGAACCTGGTTGGCCGCATGCAAAGCAAACGCCCTTCCCGCTCTGCTATCGCTAGTTCTAAAATATATGATATCTGGACATTGAAACGGTTTTCAAGAATTAAAATCTGGGGAGATTCTTAAAATATATAACTGAAAAGTATAAATTAAATTATAATATCATATATTGTGATTTAAGTTATTCAAAATGACATAGACATCAAAGTACACTAATGAGTAGTGATGCTTATTTGAATTATAAATAAGGGACATTTTTGTTTTCTTTCAAAAGTGCTCTTACCTATTTTCTAAAAAGAGAAAATATCACCTAGCAAAGTAATTTAACAAAAGAAATTTTATTTTCTAATATCAACTGTGGGTTCAAAATATCCTAAAAGATTGTGTTTTTTTTTGAGTAAGTATTGTCACTAGTATTTATAAAAATCATAGATGGCAGAGACAGATGTTTAACTCTAACTCACTTACAAAAAGAATACTTCGAGAAAAAATTTACTAGTAAAGAAATCTCAGATTATACCTACCTGTTTGAATACATATGGGAAAAAAAATAACAGGTTCACTTGGTAACCAGACATCTTAGGTACAGTGCAAACTTTACACTTGTAGTAACAACACACTGATCACTAACGGCTACCTCGCAGGTAATTGTTTCTTTTTCTCACTTAATGACTTGAAAAATGCTGGAGGAGAGAGATTTTCTGAATAACAGGGTTTCATAGGTTGGTTTGATATTTGTCTTACAGACTCACACCATCCTCTGAGTGTGAGGTACAGATGCCAGTCAGACAATGAATTTCTGTAGTGAAACAGCTTTCAGCTCACCATGTTTCAAGGTAAATTGGTGACAAGAAGCCCAAGCCATCTCTCTCCCAGTTACATGGTTTCACATCTGCCAATCTTTCTTGGTGGTCAGATGATAAAATCTATTATAAAAAGCCACTTGGTCTGAGATTTCAACCGATTTAACACCCTGAAAACAGTAAATCACCTAAAAGCAGAAAAGAAATCAGGGACTATAAGCCTCTGGAAGTCAGTGACAGATGAATGACATGAACCCCCTTCAGCCTTTTCCTTATTTAAGCTTGTGCTCACCCTGGAGGGACCTCCTTCAGTCCCTGGGAGTCTGGATTCAGTGAAACCTCAGAATTAGCAACTTCTGAGATCCATGGGTGCTTAGACTGGCCCACGTCTGCTGGTCCCTGCCAAACTTTTCTCCTGTGCTTTTTGAGAAATATTTAAATAGGCATCCATCCAGTGGAGGAAGTTAAGGTGGCTCTGACCTCTCCACTCCCAGAAGATTATAGTTAGCAGTTTAACCCAGATGGCAGCCAACTCAGTTTCTCCTTCCTCTCTTGTGGCCGTAGCAGTTGTTTCCAGAGGGGTGGGGCAGAGTCCGTGGGGGTGGGTCAGCGGCTTCTCTGTGAAGGTGTCTAGGAAGTGATCTTTGAATCTAGAATCTGAGGAGCAGAATGCTCCACACATAGGAACATGGGTAGATGTTCAGAATCATATAATGCTACAGTCCTAAGCATGCCTATCTCTCAGAGTTCCAGGGAGGATTCAGCAAGGGAACATGTGAGATAACATCTGAAATCAATAAGAAGTTGCCACACTGCTGCTTATGCTGTAGGCTAAAGAAACTGCTCCCTTTCTCTCTCTCTCTCTCTCTCTCTCTCTCTCTCTCTCTCTCTCTCGTTCTCTCTCTTTCTTTTTGGGTCACACCCAGTGATGCACAGGGGTTACTCTTGGCTCATGCACTCAGGAATTACTCCTGCCGTGCTCGGGGAACCATATGGGATGCTGGGAATCGAACCCGGGTTGACCTTGTGCAAGGCAAACACCCTACCCGCTATGCTATAGTGGGTCTTTAATGCTATAAACTGCTCCATGCCAAAGAGAGTGTCACTGACTTTTCCATTTTCCAACTCTGTGACCCTGGCCAATATTGTCAGCCTCTTATACCAGAGTTCACACATCTCTTCAAAGAGGATAATACCCAGACTTATCTAAGGACTGGTGTAATAGTTATATAAAACGTCACACTTTTATTATATGAACTTTTATTTTGGACTGGAGTGAGAGCACAGCGGGTAAGGAGTTTGCCTGGCAAGCAGCCAACATGGCCCACCCGAGTTCGATTCCTCTGCCCCTCTCGAAGAGCCCAGCAAGCTACCGAGAGTATCTCGCCTGCACGGCAGAGCCTGGCAAGCTACCCATGACATATTCAATATGCCAAACACAGTAACAAGAAGTCTCATGATGGAGACGTTACTGGGCCCGCTCGAGCAAATTGATGAACAACGGGAGGACAGTGACAGTGAACTTTTATTTTAAAGTGTTTAAACCATGCTTACCATTTTTTTAACACCCATGATGGATATAGTATGAGTTCAGAAATTAGGAGAAGCCAAATTTTAAAGTATTTAAAAGCTGATAATATATCACTAAAATTATGATGTTTTTGAAATGATAATTTTAAAAAATTTTTAGATGAGTGTTCTTGAAAAGGGGATAAAAGAAATGTAGATACCATGAAAAATAACAAGTGATGAGCACTTTTTGTTTATGTCATTTTGCTCAAATTTGCATAAAGCATATTTCAATAATTCCATTTTATGTTTAAGGAAATCTGTGTCTTCTGAAAAGTTAATATTGGCAGAGCTTAGATTTAAATACAAAGTTCAAAGCCTGAGATCTAATAATAGTGGTGCTGTAGCACATTAGACATGGATTTCACCTATGTCTCTGTAGCACTGTAGCACTGTCCTCCCGTTGTTCATCGATTTTCTCAAGCGGGCCTAGTAATGTCTCCATTGTGAGACTTGTTACTGTGTTTGGCATATCGAATACATCATAGGTAGCTTACCAGGCTTTGCCATGTGGGCAAGATACTCTCGGTAGCTTGCCGGGCTCTCTGAAAGGGGCAGAGGAATCGAACTCGGGTTGGCCGCATGCAAGGCAAACGCCCTACATCAGTTTCTCTGGTTTCTCTTCAGATTACATAAATCTTTCACCAATGTCTCATGTACTGAAAATCTTAGTAGAGAAGATGCTTTGGATTATTTAGATTCTATCATTGGTGACAGGAAGGACACATTCCTCAACAGATCTCATGTGCAGCAGTGACCATTTAGGGAAAGTCATAGAGAAAGAGAACATTTATTATCTTTATTTCCTACCTTTGGCCCCATCACTGTTAAAAAAGTTTTTGATAACAGGTATTCTAACAGGAGTGAGCTGATGTCTCTGTGGCTTTAATTTGCATTTCTATAACTAGTAATTTTGAGCAACTTTATATGTATATTGGCTATCTGTATGTTTCTTATTTTAAAAAAATTCTATTCTCACCTTTCCATTTTAAACTGCATTGTATATTCATTTTATTTGTTATTTTTTTTTGTAGGGATGGGTCACTCTTGGCTTTACTGTACTATCATTCCTAGCAGTGCT